TGACCTAACACACACTATTTGACCAAATATATCTGATATGGCTTCAGAAAACCGATCAAATAAATCTTAATTATTTCCATGTCTGTTGTAAGTTGGATAATACTCTACTTAACATATAAACATTATCTGATGAGTCTGAAAATAATCTGATAATCAATGCACAAAGTTTATAAGAATTCAAACATCACAATGGCAGTACAGTACAGACAACTGGCATTTTGTTAATCCAGGTTGACTTTCTTTTGACTTACCTGATGACAATTTCTTGGTTATTTTGGGATATTTTCCAAATTTTACATAGTAATACGATTCATATTCCTAAAAATAAGAAAACAAGAAAAATCATAAGAAATAAAGGTAATTATCATCATCAGTACACTGCACCCTCATTTAACCATGTTCTACTATTTTGTGATATTCTATGTGTAATAATGGAAATTATTTATTAAGTAAACAATCATGAAAAAATACATTGGAAGATTAAGAAAAATACTTTTTAAAATTAATCTTTGCCATTTTTACTATACAATGGAAGCAAATTTTGTAATTTGTATATTGATATAATATTTCAAACTCTGAAGCACATTTGAGGCATGTTGTGGCAAAATGGCTAACTTGTAGCAAAAATTGAAATTCAAGTTATTGGTATTTTCAAATACCTGAGTATGTGATCTTTAAAATGAGAGGTCATTCATTCAAATTGAACATTTCAAACCTAAGTTATTGGAGAGTGAAAGTACAGTACTCTTAGAGTCAAGATAAACATGATTTTGAGTATTATTGCCTTTCAAAGTTATTTGTGTATATACGTTGTTTAATAGAATGAGCTATCAAAATAACATTAAATAAACAATTTGTTGACCACTTCCAGAACTAATACATGATTAATAAGACATTAAACTTTTGATCTATAATGAAAAACAAATTTGGATTTTTAGGCAATTTTTTGAGCTCCCATATTTGATAGCTCATTTACTCAATACTGGCCTGTGCGACAACTTAACCATTTTTCCACGACATGCCTCATTTGATCTATATATTCTATGGTTCCATAGTTCAGTGATGCTGTGGATCTTGACTTTATTTTTGCAATACTGTAGATAGTGTTATTATCATTATTCATAATTTATAAATTCAGTGTTAACTATTTTATTGTTAGTAGCATTTTTGATTATTCATCATATTTTATTATTTAAAGATATATTGGTCCCCTAAAAATCACAAGAAAAAATCATAAAAATAATTTTAAAATTAACTTGCTCATTACATAAACATACAAATCTCGTCCTTAGAAGATATTAATTGTTATACTGGATATTAATAAGAACAAGATAATCTAAGATTATCATCATCCCTGTTGCACTTTATCTACTGTTATGTACTGAAAAAAAATAATGGCCCATGGTCGATCTTTTGGGCAAGTCCATCTTTCAGGCTACGGTAGTTTGCACACCTGTCTCTTATACACATCTAGATGTGTATAAGAGACAGACTTAAGCTTGGGCAATAAAACGAAATGACCGCCACGCTTAGGAAAAATAAGCAAAGATTGTATCACGCTTAAAATGTTTGCGCCACGCTAAAAAATATGTACTAAGTATATTTTGTTCAAAAAGTTACAACAGTATTATACCAAAGTGTTGAAACGGAAATGTTGCCATGGGGAACAGTATTTGTTCAATCGCATATCATCATGAGGCACCGCCTTCAATGCAAGCTCAACTGCAGGATCTCTTTGTACTCCGCCAGTGCCTGCAAGTAGGTACAGTACATGTGAACTCGGGTCCCTGGTCGGCTGGTGGATAGGGCGCTTTCAGTACCGTACATGTGTGGTGATTCAAATGTGAAGTGTCCGTTTTTTAATGGTGATTGATAAAGCAACATTTATTAATTGAATTTACACGATGGAACACCTTTTTTTACACTGAATTTTGGCGAATTACCGTACATATGTGATGGACTTCAGTCGGAATACAATAGTATTTTAGTTGGTTCCTATTATTTTAAAAACTATTTTTACGCAACTAGTAATTATAATTATTATTTAACACAACAGCAAACATGCACTCGACCATAGTTTCAAAATTATAGCCTCAATTTTCTCTGCACTACACACACTCGACCTACTGGAGATTGAACCAAGTCGGAAGCTTTTTTTTGCGGAGGTGGGGGGGGGGATAGCAGAGGGTGTTCAAATCTTTATTCACATCAACACTTAGTGTACACATCTTGTAGGTACTGTACTAGTTTTGATGAATTGTTTCCTAACTGTTTTCATAATTTAAGTGTACATACAGTATATGTGGCAAAGACAAGCCAAACCAGTCACTCGTCGCAAATCCTGTTTTGCAGATAATGGCCAAAACATGCTGGAATGTCTAATTTTGGAAATCTATTTTATTGCACTAAACTAACCTTTATATATCTATACATCATGCTATGCTGTTATTTTCCTCATTTTCAATGTTAAAACAACAATTTTTAACGATTTGGTGATGGTTTCTGGCTAAGAAATGCCTTAAATCGTAAACTTTAAAGGCTGATTTCTCAAATATTGTTCTTTAAACAGCTGTATGTTTAAACTCGTGTAACTTCATAACGAAGTGTCGGATTTAAATGATTCTTTCACCATTTCATAGCTCTCATTTTACTGTTAAACCCTGTATTAATATTACTAAAAATTGATTTTTCCAACGAGTGACTGGTTTGGCTTGTCTTTGCCACATATGGTTTGCAAATAATAAATTAAATTAAATTTAAATTGTGGGACACAGGTTAAGCCGTGTCGTGTCCGACATCATAAGTAGTACTAAAAATGTACAGTAGGTCGAGTGTGTTTAGTCCGGAGCTATAAAATTGAGGCTATAATTTTGTATGCATGTTTGCTGTTGTGTTAACATTAATAGTCCATCATGTATGTAAAACGCAGGAGAGCACTAAATTACTCTCCTCGGATTACTAGGATAGCAATTGCTCTCCTTGAAATTTTCAGAGCTTTGAATAGACCCCCCCCCAGGGGTGGATCTGGGTATCCGAATTGGGTGGGGGGGGGCCTTTCGAAGTAACGCCCGAAGGACTCGGAATATCGTGTTTTTTTGGTGTCACCAGTGTATAACCACAACTACTTTTAAACTCCAAACTGTTTTCAAAATGTTAAGTTTTTAATTATTTTGAAACATTGACATTATTTCCAAACATTGAAATAAAGAAATTTCAACTTTATCGCCCGATTATTAAACAACAAACAGTTGGAAATACGTGTATACAATACGTGAAGAAGACTAATCAAAACAACGTATGACCTAGGGAATCCCCATTTTTTTCATCATAGTGCTTTAATGAGTCAAAGAGTGGAAATGTTGAACAGAGATATTAAGTGTCATTCATCTAAATAATGACGTTATGAGGTCAGCGAAACAAGCAACATATCGTGCCCTTCATAGTGAAGTCTGTAGGCCTACTGATTAACTTAAATATTTGTGTTGGTTGTGAGGTAAATAAAGAGTACATTTGGAATTAAGTAACTCTTGTATTTTATTTAAAGCAAGTAAGGAATTAGCATCGTACAATTGTTTGGGGTGGGGGCGTGGCACCAATGAATAGCGTCCCTATTTTTGATATTCAAATGTTGGCAGGTATGAAGTTTTGGTGTCATGTTTGTACAGTAATCATAATCATTATTATTTTATAAACAATTATGTTAATTATTGCATATCGATGTTGGATGTAATTTCATGTTTAGTTATTGTTTGAATATGTATCATGATCTAATATTAGTGATTACCTTTGTATCGTGACAATCATCAGCCTCGATCACTCTAACTCTCTTTAAACAGACTGCTGCAGGGTATGAAGCTTCTCAGACAATATCATAATTACCATCTACTGTTGTTCATATTTGAGGCAGGTTGTGGCAAAATGGCCAAGTTGTAGCAAAAATTGAAATTCAAGTTGTTGGTATTTTCAGATACCTGAGTATGTGATCTTTAAAATGAGAGGTCATTCATTGAAATTGAACATTTCAAACCTAAGTTATTGGAGAGTGAAAGTACAGTACTCTTAGAGTCAAGATAAACATGATTTTGAGTATTATTGCCTTTCAAAGTTATTTGTGTATATACGTTGTTTAATAGAATGAGCTATCAAAATAACATTAAATAAACAATTTGTTGACCACTTCCAGAACTAATACATGATTAATAAGACATTAAACTTTTGATCTATAATGAAAAACAAATTTGGATTTTTAGGCAATTTTTTGAGCTCCCATATTTGATAGCTCATTTACTCAATACTGGCCTGTGCGACAACTTAACCATTTTTCCACGACATGCCTCATTTGATCTATATATTCTATGGTTCCATAGTTCAGTGATGCTGTGGATCTTGACTTTATTTTTGCAATACTGTAGATAGTGTTATTATCATTATTCATAATTTATAAATTCAGTGTTAACTATTTTATTGTTAGTAGCATTTTTGATTATTCATCATATTTTATTATTTAAAGATATATTGGTCCCCTAAAAATCACAAGAAAAAATCATAAAAATAATTTTAAAATTAACTTGCTCATTACATAAACATACAAATCTCGTCCTTAGAAGATATTAATTGTTATACTGGATATTAATAAGAACAAGATAATCTAAGATTATCATCATCCCTGTTGCACTTTATCTACTGTTATGTACTGAAAAAAAATAATGGCCCATGGTCGATCTTTTGGGCAAGTCCATCTTTCAGGCTACGGTAGTTTGCACACTGGCCGGACCACTTCAAGTTCCAGTCTGCTGGCTAGATTTTCACATCCCTCCTCTGACCCGCTGGTCGATCCGCTCGAATCGACTCAGTCTAGCCGAACATGGCCAAACTAATGTATCTGCTTCAGCTGGCTCTCTGGGTTGCGGCCGTAAAATAGCATTCTAAAATTTAAACTTCTTCCAGTCAGCACCAGATTTGAGGAGGACTGAGATACATTAACACTGACAATGTGTGCATAAAAATAAAATTAGTCCAATATTTTTTGAATTTTGCACCCGCAAGAATGCTCACACACCACATAGATATGCGCTATTGAAATTCCCTTCACCTCTCCTTCATTCACAGGCAAGGGTAATAATGAAACACTTCTCTGGAAGTATTTATAATTTTTTTGCTGTAAAAATATGGGTGAACATTCTTAACAACACTAATTTTTATGTTCAAGTTGATTGTTTTTTATGTTGCTTCAAAATAAGGAAGTTGCTTAAAAAAATGATTTTATGATTGTTTTGAGTACTTTTCATGGGACAATACATCTTATAAAAAGCTAAAAACTTGAAATTTCCAATATCAAATTTTTTTTTTTATATTTGAATTATTAACATTCAATTAAAATTTGTCTACACCTTACAATGTTTCCACATGTGTTGACATAATGTTTCTTGTTGATCAGGCAAGTTCGGCACAGCTGTTGTCTCCTACTTCGTGTTTCTCAAGTGGATGATGTTTCTCAACATCTACATCTTCCTCCTCATGTTTTTGTTTGTTGTCATCCCTCAAGTCGCCTTGAATACTAGTAGTAACAAGGTTGATAATGCAAGTAAGTGAATTTCAAGGATTAATTGATTTTAACTAATAATAATAATAATAATAATAATGATTTTTAACTAATATAATTTTAGTCACTAATATCATTTTAGTCATATAATTATCAGTGTCATTGTTATAACCTCATAATCATCATCACTATTTTTATCAGTATCATTATCTTTAATTATTAACAATCATTATCATTGTATCATACTGTATTCATTTCCATAATTGTAATCATAATTATCATTGTCACCATCATCATTAATACCATCATCTATATTATAATCTTCATTAATAATTATATAGTTATTGTTATTATTATTAATATTTTAAAAGTTATTTTCATCTTTCATCATTATCATCATAAATCATTATTATCATTATCATCGTCATCCTCTTAGCTTCATAATATTTAATATTTTGTATCACTTCCATGATCATCCTTTCAACATTCACTGTAAATTTGTAATTCTTTATTCATTGATATTCTCTATTTGAAAGCTTTGCTTGCTATATTTACTTCACATTTTTAATCAGTGGATAATTTATTCATAATTATTATGAATTTTCATTGGTTTACAAAAGTAGTATGAATATTCATTAACTAGTCATTCTGAAAGTGGTTTTACTTTGCTTCTCTCAACTCACTGTTTTAATTGTGTATTTTTTACATAGCTTGTGTGGTATCTTACGAAAATACCATTTCTAATGTTACCGGAATACAATTGCTTCTTGATTTCTTTGAAGGAACAGTGAGTCTAAAATTCCTTTTGTATTTTAATAAACTAGAATTAAATGACTGAAATACTATAACAAGGAAAAATTATATCATTTATTAGTTTTATGTTGAAAAACAAAAATTTAATGAAAATTATTGTACTGTAATTTATTTAAAGTTATTAAAAAGTAAGCCAATTTTACCTTTAAGTGTAGTAACTGTACTGAATATGTCAAGTTTAATATTAAGCTGTTTGAGTTTATTATAATTTCCTACAGTAGATGCAACACAATTATACAACCATATAATTTTCGTTTATAAGTTATTTTTTAAACAATAAATAGTTAATAAATTTTTTAATCACTGATTGAATGATTATTTAATAGATTGATTGATTCTACTGTGTGATTGAAAAATTACTTCATTGATTGATTTCAGGGTTGGATGGAGAAGACTGCACTGTTCTACGGTTTCTACGTGCCATCCACACTAGCTATTACATTCACTGCTCATACGTACAACTTGCCGCTAGCCTACATACTAGTGTCCATCAGCTACTTTGTGCTTAGCCTATTGCTGATGGTTCGATAGTAAGTCAGACACCAAGAATACGGTGCTTATTATATTATAAACATCCTATTATTAATATCTAATATTTTGTGGATTTGTGTGATTTATAAATATATTATTGTTATTGTTAATATTTTTGTCCACTTAATGTCAGTTGTTATGGCAGTGATTGCTAATATTATTGATGATGGCTACAGTAATCAGGGATGTAGTTATGGTGGGCGGAGCCACCCAGCCTTGAAGTTTTCCTCCCAGTCTAAAACTAATTTCATGGTCTTCCACCCACCCTTATTAACCCAATTTTTCATCCTTAAAATCCACTCTTATATTTAGATTTTACCAACATTGTCACCCACCCACACTTAAAATGTCTCACCCACCCTTAGTTTTCTACATCTACAAACCTGAGTAATAATGATTATTAATGATGATGTAGTAATTGATAATGAATAATATCTATGAGGAATAATGATGGTGGATATTAATAATTTATTATTTCATTATTTATTATTTCACTTCCAACTTACATGAGGCAAAAGTCCCCATTAGCAGAAATGGTCCATAGTGAGCTGTCTGATAGTTGAGAGTGAGCTGTCAAATGCTCCAGAGGGAGCTGTTAGCAGCTCCATAAACTTAACTTTAATTGGGTTTAAGAATGTCCATTGGGATTTAACAAGAGAGTCCTGGCCAGCAAACATATAGCCATCATAATGTAAACAAGAAACCCATTACAATCACTCACTTCATCTCATGGGCTTCACTGGCAATAAATAATTTAAGAACCCATCGCTATTCAACAAACCAGCAGGATTTATAATCCGGGTTTTTCCAAAAACTGCGTGCCATGGACCAGTTCTGTTAATGGCCAAAAATGCAGCATGATGTACTAAACTGAAATTATAACCGCAAGTGACAAGGCTAAAAAAGGCATGGTACTGTATAGTCAATCAATGATAATTAATAAAACTATGATGAATATTGATTTGGATGATCATGAATATATTATGTTGATGTTGGTGGATATGAATATTAATGATATAATAAATTGATGAATAATAATAGTAATATTAATAGTAGTAATATTGGGATTTTGATGGTAGTTCAATTTTGTTAAAACGGTAAATGGTGTTGATGGTTGAGATTGTTAATTATGATGTACGATTTATTACACTGATGATCATTGATGATGATAGTTGAGGATGATAATATTAATGATCACGATTAATATTGGTTGCTGACATTTATGATGATATTGATTAATATGTGTGGCTGATGGTAACTAATGATGATCGTTGGTGACAGTGATCAATGATGCTTGAAGATGATAGAGTTGCTGTACAAAACAATTTCTTCAATGTAGTTCAGGAAAGCTAATAAAAAAAATCTCCCTGAAATCTTTGGCAGTGAAAGTGTTAAGTAACTTTAGTTTATAATATGGTGAGACGTTTTTTATACCT